AGTCAACATCGAAGTAACGCCTCACCTTATCCCGCGATCATAATACAAAAATGGGCATACCACAACCAATTAATGGGAAATGATCTCCTTGAAGATACATCGGCTTATCTGAAATATTTTCTTTTCTCTTACAAAGATAAAAACGATCTCTACTCGTCGATGATATTCGTTTTACAAGACAACTAGTGATCTCAAAATTATTTCGCCATATCAGCAATTTAAAAATGGTGCAACCTATACAAGGAAAAAGTGATCTTCAACAAGACAACACTTCAATCGATCGACAATAGAATCTTTCGACTTGGCGACCTTTGCAAAGATGAATGTTCGACAATCTTCCTTTACGACAAGGAGGTCCCATAAACTAAGGTCGAGCAAAGATCCCTTTTAAGGCAGACTCTGCATAAATATTTTCAATTGCCTCTCAATTATCAGCAGCGATCTCTTATTACACGTTCGCTCATAAACATTCATCGCCGAAAGAACTTTTTAAATCAAAGGCAACGTCTTACAAAAGATGTGTTATCAACCGCTTTGAGAAGAAATGACGAACATATCAACTCGCGTTGGCGATCAATACACGCTGATCGTCGAAAGGAACTATTCTAAGTCATAAAATGTAATATTTGGTTGCGGCAGCTTTTGAGTTATTGAAGTTTATTTGAAAGTGTAATTTCTTCGACTTTCCCTTTCTTTACGTCATCATTGAAAGTTTTATTTTTTAGAGTACATTAATGGTAAATTTCAAAGTCTAATTTCTTATATTTGTCCTTTCTTTATATTATGATGGAAGGTTTGATTTTTGTATGAGCATGTTAGGTTAAATTTCCTTAAGGTAATGAGTATGTGATCTTCTGATAGGATATTATGCTAAAATTAATTGATACCCTTAATTTATTTATTATTTCTTAAGGTGAAATCTTTAGTATTTATTCGCCAATTTGGCTTTATCTGATTAAAATATATCAACAGTCTAATTTATATTGTATCGACTTACCATTGCACATAAGTTTGATAATGTTTGCTCAAATTAAAGGAAAATTCTAACCTCCCGTTATACGCTTTAAAGGAACCGTTCCGTGAAACTTTAAAACCAATAATAATATGCCACATTAATTTTTTAACCTGCACCAGATGCATACTATATTATTTTCTTTAATTAATTTAAAAACGTGAAGTGGTAACCCCACCGTATCCTTGGTCATAGAATTGAATCCAATTAAAAAATTGAAACATATAATTTATAATTTTAATTTCTTTTATTTTTTTTAATTTAAAATGTTGAATATCATTTAAATATGTTTAATAACTAGTCTAAAACACAATACTTGTGCCTTTTAAATGGCACTTTTTAACAAAACTAAGCATTGTTTATTAAATTTTATAAATTAAAGATTATATAATCTACAAATTATATATCTCACTATGAATAATCACCGAGTCAGTAGATTAATTTTGTAATAAAAAATTTTATTTCAGAATTTGTATATGTATGTATCAA